CACCCTAGGGTTGCTCCGCTGGTGCAGGATGCCTCTCCTAGGCCTCCTCCTCCTCTCAGAATGTCAGAGTCGTTATGTTGATCTGTAACATACAGATAGAAGATGCAAATTGTAGCAACGCTCAAAATAATCAATATTTCAAAAATTATATAATATTAGCTAAATATAATATAGATGAATGGGCTATAAAAAATTAGGATAAAATTGGCGCAACATGAAAATAAATTATGACTATTTTATACAATCAATAAAATTAGTAGCGCCTTCTTGATATTAATATAAAATTAATTATATTAATAGGTATTAATATATTAACGATTGCAATGCTGAGAGACATCCCATTTAGCCAGCAACGAAGTGTGATTCTCGATGACAATCGTGAAAACAAGATAGAAGTCCAACGCGAAGACGCGACGACGCGAAAACGCGAAAACGCGACAACGCGACGCATCATTGCTCGTGTGGCACGATGACGGCAATGACGACGCACTAATGTGCGTTCGACGCATAGATGCGTGTGCCACGTATGAGCCATTGTGCGACTCGTGGCAATGCTGTGGTGATACCGACGCGAAAAACGCGAAAGCCGTCCGCGACACGATGACGGCACCGACGATGCGACAAGCCGTCCGCGGCACGATGACAGCAACGACGACGCTGAGTACTTGGTTTTCCCCTTCCTATAATATGTAAAAAATAACTAATTATTAATCTTATTAAATTATTTCCCGATATTTGTCGCGATTGCGTTTAGAAAAGGAATTTGACGGAGTGTCTCGCATTACTATTTTACTGCTCGAGTGTTGCCGTACGAATAATAATACATATTTGTCGCGATTGCGTTTAGAAAAGGAATTTGACGGAGTGTCTCGCATTACTATTTTACTGCTCGAGTGTTGCCGTACGAATAATAATACATAGGAAAGAAATTTGAGCGTCTCGCCCCACTACAGTTCTATTCAAGTGTCTCCGTATGAATAATAACAATGCTGTGATACATAAACAATGTTTACGCGCGTCAATGTTTACGTTGGCAAGACCGAATACCATGTTATTGAAAAGTCGTTGCCAAAATATTTTACGTACTATAAAATATATAAAATAAATATTAAATAAATATTAAATTATATGAATATTTTATAATTAAATTTGGTTCAATTATTTATTAAACGATTAAGATATCACGGAACTTATCGTTATGTTAATTATTCGAATTTCCGATTCGATCATTTTACAGCACGTTCTTAATCCAAATTATATTTAGATTTAGATCGTCGAGAAGTCAAATGATATAGCATCGCGAACAAAATATATTTGATTCTACGTGTTGCTAAAGAAATAATTATTATCCGTAAAGATCGCAACAAAACGATAATTTATAATTTGATTTCCTATTGCTTTAATTCTTATTTGATTAAATAAATAAATTTTTTTACGTAATATGCGATTCGAGATATATCCTCGCGATATATGTATATATGTAGTTACATATTATTTATATATAAATGTTAATCAATTATTAATTATATTATAATAGCAAATAATTTCCCGATACTGGTCGCGATCGCGTTTAGAGAAGAAATGGGGCCTCCGGTGGCTCAGTGCGTAGCGCGCCTGACTCACATCCCGGAGATTTCGGGTTCGATTCCCGACTCGACCCTGGCCCCCCTGGCCTGCGCTTTCCCCATTTTTCCTTTCCTATTACCTCCCAAAAATTCCTTCTTTCTCTCCTTCCCCAAGAAAAATTTACTTAATCAAGTATATATACATAACTGAAATTTATACTCTAATATAACCTGTTGTTGGCCCGAATATATTGATCTACCCGTGATCATATCGGCCATTTAAATATTAAGAAGAAGAAGTAGAGAAGAAATTTGACGGAGCGTCTCGCACGACTACTTTCCTGCTCGAGTATCGTCGCGTGAATAATAACAGAGTCGAGGTATGTAAATAATAGCGCGCCAATGTTTACGCTGCCATACCCGAATACCATGTTATTGATAATTCGCCGCCGAAATATTTTTACGTACTATAACATATGTGTGTGTGTATATACATATATGTGTGTTAATATATGAGAAAAATTCAATTGCAAAAAATTTTAAATTATAAATCTCGATTTATTAAACGATTTATTAAACGATTAATATATCGCGGAGCTTATAGTTATGTTAATTACTTGATTCTGCGATTCGATCGTTTTATTTTATGCATTCTTTGTAATTACTAATTTAGGATCAACATCCGTAAGGCTGGCTATTCTTAATAGTATATCTCGTCGACGGTGATACCGATTAATTATCTTGATATGCGCTATATGTTATTTTGTATCAATGAGAGAATATGTCATTAAGCAAAGATCATAATTTGACATTTAAAATATCAAAGGAGCTGATATGTCAGTGATTTTATTCATTTGATGCAACTGCTTTTGAAAAACGAAAAAATTGTAATACATTCCACTCATATGTTGCAAGGCGCGTATTTTTGCGTATTTTAACAGCTTCCTTAATGTCAAGTGCGTACGTGCAGTTGTCAAATTTATTTAAGGCGTGTTGTTTTTATGGTAAATCTTTTAGTATTAGTATATAATATAAAATAAAATAAAAAAATAATTAATAACTATATATAAAATAATAAAATAATTGAAATAATGATACAAATGGTGCGCGCTGTATGCTACTTTATGTATTATGTATATATATTATACATAATTATATGTGGAGAAATCATATATATACGTATAAAAATAATTTATTGACCGGAACATAAAAATCAGAAGAAAATAACAAATGACGATGCACAGCTGTTATATGGAGAGGGTGTGCGGTAAAAGTAATAAATTGCGATACTTTAGCATAGAAGCACAGTGCGCGTTGTAAGAGTATCGAAGTAACAGCTCTTTCTAGCCAAGTGTCTAGCCAATTATTGTATGTTATAATTAATTATATTAATTTCGGACATAATTCTACTGAGATGCGATTATAACAAAAAACAGTGATATGCTATATATATAATATTATATATATAAAATAACTCCTTAATTTTTTTAAATTGCTTATCTCTATATGTGGATCTGTATAACAGCGATAAATTAATTAATTGTATAATTACAAAGATGATGATCGCAGGATTTAATTTGCAAATTTCCGCGAATTCGCACATCATTCGCAAATACAAAATGTTAATTAATTAACGTCGTAATTACGACGTGTCCGAGTATTGATGTTGTTTACGAAATGTTACGGCGTCGACCGCAGGAGGAAGTAAGTGCGAAAGCGGAAAGTATCCTTAATTTCCGGTGGAAAGTGGCATTTATATGCTAAAATCGAAAAGAGCGTCTCGCTTCGCTTGAGGAACGAGTCATCGGAACAGAGCGCTGTACTATTTCAGGTAACGCGAATTCATTCTCGTGTTGTATGTTCTCTCTGAGGAGAGAAAGAACGTTTCGACGACCGTGAGCTTGAATCGCAAAATGTCGTGTCATCGAAGAAACGTGCATAACTAACGTGTGGAACTAACGAGCGTAATTGCAGACTTCAAACTCCCTTTTACACAGCCATGATTTTTATCGGAATTGAAGCGATAAGTAATTAATCCTCTTTACGTTTGGCTTTCTATTAATCAGAAGAGTTAAATATTATAATATATAATTTTTTATATATATATATATATAATAAAGAATAAAACATAAGTAGTTTATATAATCTGATGTAAAAAAATAAGATTAATAAAAGACTCCTATAATCCTTACCTGGAACGGTTAACTGAAGTGGATAACATTACATAATTAGAAACCGTAAACTCTTTAAAGTCATTTAATTAAGATAAATATTGAATTAAAATTGTTTTGAGGGCAGAATTACGTTTGTATATATGAAGTTAACATTTAATTTCGTGGAAAATCATAAATAATCACATAATTATTATAAAGTATATTATTATAAAGTATTGCATCCGTTTGTTCGTTCAAAGAGAATCTATTTTTATATAATTTAAAACAGCAGTTTTAATATATATAATTAAGAAACAATTATTTAAAAAATATTTAATTGTTTATATTGACCGAGAAAGCTACATCTATGGGCATGAAATCATTGAATCATCATAAGAGGCCAATTGATTTTTAAGAGTTTTATATAGTAAGAATTCTCGTATAATTTTGGAATTTTACTTGTGTATTTTTTAGCAAACTATATTGTTTTGATTGAGAATACTAATTTACGATTTTCTTTCTCTTTCTCGCACGTAGAAACAAATAATGATTTTATCGACAGAATATGTTTTTGCATCAAATAATATTTCGCTGTGTAACGAAATCATCGAGGCATTGACGCAATTGTCAGAACGTGAAGAAAAAAACGCATGCAGGCAGTTGCTCAAGATTAGAATTATGAAAATTACAAGCTGACATCATACATATCATTTTATGACTTCCAAAAAAAAAAACTTAATTCAGCAATGCAAATTTAAATAACGCTTAATAAATTAAATTATTAATAAATATGATATATTAAAGAATGATGCAAGATATATAAATATATTAATGATTATCCTGCTGATTATAATTAATATATTTTTTTTTAAATATTTGTTATATCTTTACTTTTAATATTATATGTGTTAATCTGTTTAATTAATATATGATTTATGTAGAAATTATAAAAGATATAATCTTATAAAAATCTACAATTATCATTCGTGTAGGAAGAATTATACTACTCATCGTCAGTATTATTTATTCTGCGTAATTAAATATACATATCTTACGCGTATTTATAAGCGTTTCCGAACTTAATGTAAAATCAATTGTAATTAACTTGACGGCATTTATGGCTCGCTCTTTTTGCGTTTATGCAACATTTCGAAGACAGCGTTTGTAATCCGTCTGTGACCGTAATACGATTACTCAGGATATAAATGTTACACTTCAATTCCTCTGATACTTTAATTTTCACGTAATCGGCTCACGGTTTATGCTCATTTCCAGACGTGCCATGACGAGAAAGAAGAGAAGTATCGGCGCGGAGAGAAACGGATGGTTACCATTCCAACAGCTAATACGGATGCCCTCAAAGAGAACGAACTATACCGGCAATTACTTATACGCTCCTTCTGATTATACTTTCGGTGATGATTCTAATCTGATCAGGGATGGTTCTAGTTCGATGTATCAGCGTGATTTCCGAGACCGCAGAAAGCTTCAGCAGCATGATTTGCCGCGCAGAGATCGTGAGTTTTCACCAGTGTAGAATTTGTAATTAGCTAAGAAAATACGTATAACCGTGTATTAAGTTTATGGTCGGCACTTAAATTTAGATCAATAAAAAATAAAAAATAATAAATTATTCTAATAATATTAATAATAATATTA